AATCTAAAATCCATTTACACAATACATGAGATGATGATGTCATCTAGTGGCCATTAACACACAAAGTATCTGATCCATCATAATCTGTGTATGAATAAAGATATTTAATGTTTAAAATGAGCATTCAGATGTTGCAGCATCCTAATCTCGTGACTGGGTTAAGATTGGCAAACGCATACCCATATGAGTGAGGCTGTGTCTCGCCAGGTGGTAGCGCTGAAAAAACCTCTTGTCACACATGGTGCAAGCGTACGGCTTCACCCCTATGCACACAAAGTACCAACTTTAGCATTAAAGAGATTCAACTGCCAAAAATGATCGATGCTAAACTTTACTAAATGCTTAGTAAAGTTTGGTTGCACTCATCAGCGCTTTGTTTACACTGGAAAATCCAGCATGCTTCAAAAAGACTGCTATTCCAATTGAAAATTACATTTTCACATCTGATTGAAAAACACCGCAACCGCTGAACGTAAGTTCAAATTCGAAAAAAAAAAAATTGTGTAGACCTCAACATGAGCTTATCTTCAAACCTAAAAACCAAATGACCAGACAATCAATTGAGGCAAAATCGAGGTCCCTAATGGACAAATTCCAACAAGCACAAAAAACATGTTATCTTTTTGAATGATACCAATAGGTGCTTGTGTTTGTGTAATTTCAACAAACAGATTTGTTCACAAAAAGTTTGGTCACGCTGATCACAGAGGTTAGACAATTTTAGGCAGTTGGTAAACAACTATGCACAACACATTAAAAGGGACACACTGTGCTTATTTTCAGCTCTAGATTTTTATTCGGGAACTATATCAGCGTGTCGGTCTGGAATAACAGAGAGAACAGCACAGACATCCGAAGAGTGCAAAGTTTCAAAACATCTGTTTGAAAAATAGCGTGCCCATTAACTACTTATGTGACAAAGTGCAGGATTCTCTTTCAGTCACAATGTGTATGTGATAGTTTTTCTATATATTTCCATTAATAGTTGTTTGTGTTGGAAATGAAATATAGCTTGGAATTAAGTGGTCAACATCTGCTGTCAGAAAATACAATGCTAATGTTGAAAGTAGAATGTTTTTCTACTGACGCAAAACATTATTAAACTGTGGTTATTTCCATGCTGGAGCACTGCTGGATTACCATATAAGAAATTAATTGAATCTGACCCATGTTTAATATAGATATTGTAACACAAGATAAGATGAGAAAGAAGCATAATGAGTCCCCTTTAATATTAGACATTGGTTTGCAGAGCAACTCTGATTTAAATTGATTTATAGTGACAGAAAATACTCAGAAATCCTCACACAGAAGCTAGCTTATAATAAAAAACAACTCTCACTTCAAATCTAAAAATGATACTGTCATATTGTCATTACACAAATCTCAAGTATAATAGCAAATACAACTATTAATAAAATAGGATTATGTGTTATTTCTTCATTATTACTTTGAATGTGAAATGACACAATGACTCGACCTTATGAGATGTTTGGCCTAAATATAAACTAAAGTCCCATTCACATCAGCTGAAACCCTGCAGCGTTTTTACCCCACACAGGTCAGCTACAGGCTGTGACACACCTACAGCTGCTCCAGAGTGAACACCTTTCTTGACCCAGTTTGATGCAGTTTTTAGACACAGTTGATCTTCCCTCGCACAACGTTAATATGCATTAATAATGGGGAATTTAGAATTTATACAATGCTGTATTGTGTCAAAGTAGAATTTCTACTTGCAGCAGATTTTAGTTGATTCAAAGAAAAAGTAAACCGTAATGTAAATGTATTAATTCTTGCCGAAATCTAAAACCTAAACAATTATCAATGATAAGCAATATATCTGAAGTGTAGTGACTTTTTGCTTCATGGTCATCATGTCATTTCATAGGCAAAGTCTTTGCATTATTACATTATTTTGCACATGCTTATGAAGCTCCTTGTAAATGTGACATGAAACATTATCACTTGTCAATATGATGATAGAAAGCAATACAAACTCGAGTTTGAAGCAGCCATGTAAACATTAATGTGGGCACATGCTGGACCAAAGTAGAGGAGAAAGAGGGTTGAGTTAATACGTACCTGTATGAGTGAGACTGTGTCTTTCCAGTTGGTACCGTTGTATAAATCTCATGTCACACATGGTACAAGCATATGGTTTCACCCCTAAACAGAGCACAAGAAAGTTAGATGTACTTCAACACACTGATGAAGTTCAAGCCAAAATGAAATTATATCAGGTTTGCATGCTGTGTTACAAAGTTGCATTACACTGAAGAGTTCAAGAACCAGCAGACATTAATAGTCATGGTAAATCATAATTAAGGGTTTACAGGTTGCAATTCAGACAACCATGTGTATTATTCATTTATCCTGCTAACTTAAAATGCTTTTCAGTGTAATGCTCCTTCTAATAACTATGTAATATAATGCTTAACATGCAGCAGTACAATTAAAGTGTTAATCAGAAACTGATCAGAGAGTCGTTTTCTCAGTGGACAGTTTTCCAACAAAGCCTAAAAAATCTATTAAACATTTTTGAAAGGGAAGTCAATTAACCTATTATGGAATCATATATAGAGGGAGTTATCAATACAAGCAATCACGTGGAGTTTTAAATCAAAGGTTTCATATTGAAAGGGGAACAATTAATTCAGGCATACCAGTATGAGTGAGGCTGTGTCTTGCCAAATGGTAACGCTGGAAGAACCTCATGTCACACATGGAGCAAGCGTATGGCTTCACCCCTAAATGCATACAGTACCAAACTTTAGAAAAAACTTCTCATCAACTATATACACAACATATGTCATTTCACACACGAGTCAGTGTCATGTCATTGCAAGGTCTATGTATGTTCATGACTAACTAGTCTATTCATACGACATAAAATGTGTCAACCCAAAAAGCAATTAGCAAATAGAGAAAGGAAAAAACCTAAATGTTCTTACATCTTACATAATCAAGAATATTGAGTAGCACATATTACAATTTACTAAAGTCTCACAGGTAGGCCATGCCTACACATAAGTGAGAGGGATAAGTAAAACTTATACCCGTATGGGTGAGAGTGTGTCTTGCCAGGTGGTATCTCTGGAAAAATCTCATGTCACACATGGAGCAAGCATATGGCTTCACCCCTGCACACACAGAGCAAAGTATTTTGTAAAAACAACACAATGAACTGAACAGGACACACTCACTTATATCATGTATCCAGACATGCCAAAAGCAGTGGCACTTGTATAACTAAACACTTAATGTATTGTACTAACATTTTCTGTCTGCAGGGTCTATAATGCTGAAATGCATTGAAAAGGCTGAAAGTGTTTATGGGTATTAAAGGTATTACTACACATGAAAATGCTGCCTTAAAGCGTTAAGGCATAACCAAAAGGTATCTTCAGCATGCCCTAGTGTTTACATTGGCTTTATGCCTATGTGTTTTTTAAAAACTAGACTCAAATCATTTTATAACAAAGGAACAGATAAACTTCAGTAAACTGGGTATTTGGGCTCGAATGTAACAAAAGGGACAGATAAAGTTCAGTAATCTGGGTATTTGGGCTCTAATGTAACAAAGAAGGGTAAACCCATACCCGTGTGAGTGAGGCTGTGTCTTGCCAAGTGGTAGCGTTGGAAAAATCTCATGTCACACATGGAGCAAGCGTATGGCTTCACCCCTACACACAAAAAGTATGTAAATATAAGAAACAGAAAAAGACGTTTCACAAATATCCATCAACTCTTCCCTTCAAATAACTCTTGCTTCTACATTACACAATCAGCTAAAGTAGAGAAGTCAGCAGGGGTAGCAGTGTACATTTAGGTGCTGCACAATGTATTTACATGAGGAGCTAAAAAAAATTGTTTAACTAATACATGTCTGGATACATCTTTATGTTTATTAAAATGTGAATGCTTGGAGCTGGTAGCCAACTTAAATCTCAGTTTTCACTGCTGAGTCGAAAAACCCCACTCTGTCAAGTGCTTTTTGATAATGTTTGTGGTTATTTGGCGCTATACAAATAAAACTGAATTGAAATGTTACTTTTAAAACACCACAATCTAATGAGCTAGAATAAGCAGACGCATACCAGTATGAGTGAGGCTGTGTCTTGCCAGATGGTAACGTTGGAAGAACCTCATGTCACACATGGAGCAAGCGTAGGGCTTCACCCCTACATACACAAAGTATCAGCATATTAGCTATGGCGATCCTTTTGCATAAAAGGAACATCATTCAGAGAAGTTACACCACTCGGACCTGGCAAACATTACACATTCTAATCAAGCTTCATGCAAAGGAGCGATTTGATTTGACTCCAATTCGTAAATGTGTCTTCTGTTATTGGGAGCATTCATTTTCAAATTATCTACAATACATCATGAAACAAAACAGCAACACAATATGAGCCAAGCGTGTTTAAAAATGAGTCAGCATTAAGACAGCAAAAAAAGGCTAAGACGGTGATCATACTGGGCAGCTAAAGCAGAAACAATAGCACACTTTTCCACCACTCAACATCAGTTTAACATCTATATGGAACACATCAATTTGACTTATGGTGGCATGAAAGCATATGTTGCTTTCAATGTTACAAGTGTGCTTGTTTTCTAGCACTCAACTGGCACGACTTTCAAAAGCTTCCAATCTGATCTCCGCCATTGATTAACAGCAGAAGCCCCTGCTTTAAGCAAACGCACAATGAATAAAATAGAAATCTTAATTTAAAAAGCCAGACAATAACAGTTTAGAAACAAGAGTTGTGCAGCCATTAGTCTGTATGTAAAATAAGTGTGGACATCAAAGGACTATTCCCATAATATACCATAGCTCCAGTTAATCAGATACTGCAACACGACTGGTCAGTGCAGGAGAGTAACGTCAAAACTGTTAAATGTTTATTTAAAATCATTTGGTATTTTGTAAAATATGACTTTATGTTAAAGAATGACATATTTTCCAAAATCCAGAGTTAACCTCTCTTCTGAAGAATTAGATCCTTCAAATAACAATATTTAGATACAACTTTGACGCTACATTTTGACCACTCAACCCCACCTCTTATACTTTGGCTGTGAAACCATGTTGCTTCCTTCAAACGTACTCAGAGCTCCTCAACCACAATAACAGTGATTAGTAAATAAGCTGTCTGAATTCTTCAACTTTGCCAACAAGGCACCAGAAACCAAGAAAATTTTAAAAATAGAGAAATTGTGTTTAACAGCAATGGTACAAGAGGGATAATACACTTTGAGGGGTCCACAGGAACAATTTAAGTTCATGACAGGTATTTACTAAACTTACATGGTAAAATGGCCAATGATTCTACATGGCTATTTTGTCTGGATTTCCAAATGACAAATGGTTGATTAAATATATCTGGAAAAAATCTTTGCTGAGAATAAGGAGACTTTAAATGAAGCCTCTCCTCAGTAAGAAATAGTGATCTAGACAAGACTAGCTTATTAAATTAAGTTTCTTAACTTGAACTGGGTACGGTAAATGGACGCATACCCGTATGAGTGAGTCTGTGTCTCTCCAGGTGGTAACGCTGGAAAAACCTCATGTCACACATGGAACAAGCGTACGGCTTCACCCCTACACACACAGAGCATAGAATTATTAGCTATTCAGTCTATCAAATGAGCCAAAATTTGACAAAAAAACAGAATTTATTATGTGAAAAACAGAAAGAACAGATGCAGTGTTGCCATGAAGAGCTACTGAGATATATGAATAA